TATTTCAGAGCTTTTGGCACACTTTATCTACTAGAAAAGTCTTAAACTGAGTAACGGAGCAATAAGCAAACTACTGGATGTTGCACTAGAGCAGCAACAGCATGTCAGACCAAAGGCACATCTGCAAGACACACTTTTCCATACTTTGTGTGAGACTCACCTGCTTACTTCCTTACTGTGTCACTTCATGTCAAAAAAAGGTACAAAAAGTGCAAAAACTCGCTTGACTTCCACCAGCTTCAATCGATTTAATATTTGTTGCTGCATTTCCTTTTGCTTGTTTGTTCACCATGTTCCACGAAAAATCTGCAAAGCTTTTTTGACCCACGATGATATATTTGCTCGCTTTCTTCACAGCCTCTGGATATGAGCAATACTGTGTAAATGTGTCTCTCCTGCAGTGATGACTGAAAACTAGAGCCAGACCAACTGCAGAACATTGACTCAGTATCTGGGAATGGGGACAAAGGATAAAGCTTCTTTGTACTCCTCCACGTGTGACACCTGGTTATCCTATTTACAAAGGGCAAGTCTCTTGCTAGGAACAACAAAGATATTAAGCAAGATCTGCAAGCTCTCAGGACACTGAAAGAGGACCTGAGCTTAGAGGATAAAGACTGCACCCAGGCCGAATGGGGATTTTTTAAATATATATTTATACATATAAATGACCTAAGTGTTTTAGATGTATTAGACAGTTAATGAACATTCCCATTTTTTCTAATACTTTTCTAATAGACTTCATGCATTTCCAAAGATCTCTAACATTATTAGTCTTTATCTCATTTCTAACTTGATTTCTCTGCTAATGTCCTGTATTGCATAAGCTTTATTTAAAACAACCATATGATTTATGTAATTGTTTCTCCAGAAGGCTTATGCCAAAGAAAAAGTCTTATTTCTGATCTCAGGAAACCTTTCAAAATAAGATTGATCCTGATGATCATTGTTTTGGACTAAATGAGGATTTGAAACAGTCTGAGCAAAAGAGAAAGAAAAGATGGCCTTTAAATGGTTCTACTATAAAGCATTTGTTTCCAGAAATGCTAATATGTTATGTGTTGTTGTAGTTACTAATAAATGGTGTTACTTAAATTGTACAGTTCTGCTGGATTTAATGAGATTAATAATCTCTTTGGAAATCTTTAAGCAGAAAACCAGGGAAACATAACGACTATGATAGTTGAAAGCTGTTGGAGATAAAAGTTCACACACCTCGTACGCCTCTATCTCTAGGAGGTAGAAATGCCAACTGTTCTAGTCCAAAACAACAATATATACCACTTCTCTGTTGTTTTCCTTCTCATCTGATGACCAGAACTGAGGGAAAAAGGGTGCCTTTGGATGTGAGTCCTTGCCTATGTCAGTCATTAATAAATAGCTACACATAGTTTTCCCTTTAGCGTCTATACAACTGTGTCTGCAGGCATGTGACTAATGATGTCAGTGAACCTTCCTTACGTGCACTAGACCCTTTAACACCACCTCTTCCTTTGTGCTTCCTAACCTAAGAAAAAGTTCTCAGAGAAATAATAAAGTCATTTAACTTTCTGAACTTTGAGAAATATGTAGTGTTTAGTATATAGCATTGTTTTGTTTTTGGGTTTTTTTGTTCTTTAAGAATAAATACACCACAACCAGCAGACATTTTAGCTGTTTGTCATTGCACGCCTACAAAAATATCCTATGCTGGCACACAAAACTTGAGGAGTCTAGATGAGTCAGAGTAGCAGTTAGTGAAAGAATTGAACTGTGGACTAGAAAACTGATGTAACTCAGTCTCTCACAGTCCTCGTTTCTTAGCAAAGAGAGGCAGATATCAATACAAGCAAGGAAGACATTACAGCAACACTTGAAACTGAAAGGCTGGCAAAACCAACACATTTTCAGCATGTGGCTCACATCTGAAAGTGTAAATTGACCACAGCTGAAACCTGTCAAATATTCAAAGATGAGATGGAAACTATTTATAGTATCTCTGAGACTATATGCATCCTACTGGAAACTCATATGGGGTGGTAATTCTGTTGTTGTTTTCCAGCATGTAATGTCACACTTTGTAGGAAACATTATATAACATCTCAGTAATGACATACGTTAACTTGTGAAAGTCAGGGCTACTGGATCCTGGTTCTCACTACACAGAGGAATGATTTGTTTTCTGTTTAGTTAAGCTAATTCAAAGGTTATTGCTGTATACTGCAGTAGTTGGATGTGGCCTTCCTGGTGCAGTTATAAAAAATTGCCAACTAGAAAACAAATGTTAAAAAATGCAACAAATAATCCAAATATCTAATCAGTCAATCACATAGCAACAACTCAGTGCATTCAAGATGACCAGCTAAAGTTCAAACTCTAGGGCTACCGTGGCTCAGGGGTTTGGGAAGCGCATCTGTAACCGGAAGGTCGCTGGTTTGATCCCTCTGTCGTTGTGTCCTTGGGCAAGACACTTTACCCTACCGCCTACTGGTGTTGGCCAGAGGGGCCGATGGCGTGATATGGCAGCCTCGCTTCTGTCAGTCTGCCCCAGGGCAGCTGTGGCTACAACCGTATCTTGCCTGCACCAGTGTGTGAATGTGAGAGTGAATGAATAGTGGTATTATAAAGCGCTTTGGGTGCCTTGAAAAGCGCTATATAAATCGTTATATAAACCATTATTATTATTATTAACTCACCATCAGAATGGAGAAGAAAGGTGATACAACGTTGCTGATGCCAAACTGTCTGATCTCAGTAATTCAGGAACTGTTGATCTCCTGGGATTTTCCTGCACAGCCATGACTAGGGTTTGCAGAGAATAGTCCAAAAAAGAGAAAATATCCAGTGAGCTGCAAGTATGCAGTAAGTTCTCTAGGAGTGCCTTGTTGATGTCAGAACTCAGAGCAAATAGTTAGACTATTTCAAACTGATGGGAAGGCATCAATACCTGAAATAACCACTCGTTGCCATCAAGATGTCCAGAAGAAATGTGTTTCTTTCTTCACTTGTATTATATTTGCTGCAATTTCTGCTGGCCCCTTAACCAGGTGTCTCTTGAAATATATATATTTTTTAAAAATTCCAATCAGACTTTTTAGTGCTTAAATACAGGATATATAATAATGCCCTTGAATCAGAGAAGCTACAGCAGGAAAAGAATCATGCCAGGTGCCACTCATGTCAGGTAAAAACAGGAAACCGCGTCTTTGCATGAGCTGACCGAAACTGGACAATAGAAGATTGGAAAGATGATTTCAGCTGCTGTATTTGGATAGTAGTGTCATAATTTGGTTTAAATAAGATGAAAGCATGCATCCATCCTACCTTGTATCAAAGGTTCACTCCAGTATATCACTCTGCCGGTGGTGTAATGATGTGGAGGGTAGTTTCTTGGATGTTTTCTTGCTTTAGCTTCCTTAGTATTAACTATGCATGATAGCAATACTGCGGCCTACCCGAATCTTGTTGATGAGCATGTATATCCCTTTATGACTTCCACCATCATACGAATCTTCTGATGGCTGGTTCTAACAGGATACATGCCATGTCACAAAGCTCAAATCATCTCAAACTGGTTTCTTGAACATAAGAAGGAGTTCACTGTGCTCAGCTGTCATCAGACATCAGTCCATGAGAGATTCTTTAGGATGTGATGGTATGAGAGATTCACATCGTGGAGCCGGCAAAGCTTCAGCTTCAGTGAAAATATATGATATATGATTTATATATAGAATGTATAATATTTTAATATTCTGCTAATATTCTGTTAATTGTTAGAACAATGAACACACACACACACACATTTTTTTATGCTTTTTGATATAATAACACTTATCAATATTGTTTTAGCAGCATGTTGATTGACTTGACAGTTAAGCTGAGCCAGCAGAAAAGTCTGACCTTTTTGTTTTGTTTGTGTAATAAGCATCTTGTTTACATATGAGATGAATAATGCAATATAATTTATGAGCGTAAGCTATTAAGTCAAGAAGTTATTTATTGTTAGTAACATTACATTTTTAATGGAGCCCAACTTTCTTATATAATACATCTGCTGCTTTTGCAGTTCTGAATAATTAGTATTTCTTATGCTGGAGGAAATATAATTCATTTAAAAATCCACTTAATAAATTAAATTCTGCACTTTAAATTAGCCAGGCAAATGACTAGGGTGCTGGACCCATTGTTCCTCCTCAGATTTCTGGCTTGAGTTGACATACTCAGATAAATGTGATTTGTTTTTTGTTTGGTTGATGGGAACTCAAAGTTGAACTAATACTTCATATTGAAATGAAATGTCACAACAACAACCTAGTGATAAAAGCTGTGGTATCAATAATTTACTGCAAGGTAGGGCGCCACTTTTTAGTGAGTCACTAATGACTTTGCTAATTATTATCCATCTAAAAAGTATCAGTTGATTTAATTCCCAGCAAACAAGAGTGGCTATTTCTGTTTCTTGAAATCCCTTGGCTCATTTGCAATGCTTAAGTTTATTATTTTCTTTTATCACACTTCTATCAGCGTGGAATGATTTCACAAATGATAATCATTTTAATTGCTGGTGCTTGTGTCTAAATCTTTCGCCTCTGAGTTTTTTCTTTCTGTCTGGCATTTAAAAAAATATAAATTAAATAACACAGGCCTTTGTGTGAACTGAGGGGGGACTTTCTGCTCAGGTAGTAAAATGAGCTGTGGTAACAATTCCAAGCTGCCGTTGTTTAATTTTCTAATCCTTTAAGCGCCTCCACCTTTTTATTGTGTTGTATCAGAAAAATATAATTGGCTTAAATTCTTCTTTTCTTGAATTTGTTCTTTCTGAAAGTCTTACTCCCTACTACTACTGTCTTATCTTCTCAGTCTTACTATCTCTGTCCTCTCAGTACTTTTCAATCCTGATTAAAATGCACATTCTGACCTATGTGTTTTACTCTCTTCTTCTCTATTCTTATTCTGTGCCTTTATCCTCACCCCCTGCTTGTATCCCTCCCACCACCTTTCCTTCTTTCTTTTTCTTACAGTGTCCTGAGGGGCTGAGGCCAATGAAGGATGGCTCAGGTTGCTATGACTACTCCAGGGGCATTGACTGTACGGATGGCTTCAATGGAGGTTGTGAACAGCTGTGTCTCCAGCAGCTTGTGCCCCTTGAAGATGACCCAAGTTCCAGCAACGTACTCATGTTTTGCGGGTGAGAATAGCTAGTAGTAAATAGAGAAAGAGAAGACATCTGCAGGGTGCCAATAAAGCTTTCTTTGGAAGTAGGTTTCATGAGTGATGGTTCGATTACACAAATGTAAATTTTCAAAAAATACTAAATACGAAATAACCAGTGAATAAACTATAGCTAGAAAGCCATATAGATAGATTGACAAATACATATCATACAGTTCTAGTATAGCCATTACGAGCATAATCTACAAAAACATACACAATACAAAGATGTGGAAAGAAAACTTGCATGAATTTGTCCAAACAATTCAAACCTCATACAAGTAATATTAGTGAATCTCACCTCTGAGATCGTGTTCACAGCTTCTAGCCCAGCTACTATTTTTAGACTGCTCAGTGGAAACCCCGTTCTGTTCTCTTGGCACATGTGCCTGAATGTTACGGAGGTACTGCGTCAAAACAGTGAACCTTTAACCTGATTTTCATTTTGTGGAAGCAGTGGAAGTCACAGGGAGGCAAATCTGATGGGTCTGTGAGGATTTTATATGTGTAGATTAAAAAAAAAACCTCCAGCCTTGTCAGTGCACTAAGTTCCAGCACAACATGGCACATGCCAAAGTTCTCTGTATGGTACAAATGGAGCTTTGCATTGACAGTCTGAGGCAGGGGGATCTTTTGGTAGTGCACATCCTTGTGAATGTTGAAAACAAAGAGGATGACTATTATCCTGGTATCACCCTGGACATGACATTCAATGAAAATGGACTCTTAGCTAAAAAACTTCAACTTTGGCTGGCAGTGAGCCTCTGTGTGATGGTCATTTTGTAGAATGAAGATATTCTTGAAGGGGAAATCATGCCAAATTTCAATTAGGTATAGTTTTTGTTTGCACTTATTCATAGAACTTTTTGATTGTACCCAGTATATTGTAAATACTTAGGTTTCCATTTGAGTGCAGACTGCTTAGATTCCCCAGTGCAATCACACTGTTACTTTGCAACTTGATGAAAAACACTGAAAAAAAACTACTGCACTGTGGTCCGTGGCAGCTGGAAAAGATGTGAATAGTGAACAAATGGGTCAAACACAGGACTTCCACCTGTGATACTAGAGTTTGCATGAAAAAAGAAACAAGGTCGTTCTTAGCTGGCTGATTAAATATTTTTTTCTCGTTTAGAATTTATTGTTATCATAATTTTTCTGTTACGTGCTCAGCTTTGGGACATGGAACCATTTTAAGGTTAGGTTAAAGAAAAGAATGATCTACACTGAATAAAACCCTTCAGGTTAGTGAGTATTTCTGCCACAAAGACCTGAACTTCTATATTGGTCTTTTTACCCAATTTCTAAAAGCAGTGATATTCCTGGAGCAATATTAAATATTATATTGTTGCTCCAAACATGAAAGGTCTGAAAAAGGGCTACAAATAGTAACCAAAAATACAGGAAGTACTTCTGTCAGTGTTTTTGTTAGCTTTAGGGTTGTCCTTCCCATTTTCCTTTAAATAGCTGTCTTCTTTGAGGGTATTTATATCTCAAGACTGGCTGATCATTTATGGAAACTGTTCTGATCATGCCAATGAAAGTTGCTTAATTCCTGGGACCTGATAACTGATAAAAGGATACTTAAAAAAACATGTCTAAATGCATCTGTTGACTTTTTGATGGAAACCTAACAGCAGAAGCCTAAAGAAACATGAAGCATGCCCTCATTCTTGATCTGTGTCTGATCTGGAATGATGTCCTCATTTTCCCCAGATCATTTGGTATCCTTACAGTGTGGGCAAACATGAACGTTGAGGCTCTGTCCATTTACCATGATATCCTGTTTAATTTCATAAGTGTATTTTACTAAATCACTAGCCTGTATACCCACATGTTCTGTAATAAATGCACAATGCTTTTTAAAAGTGGCCTGTGGGAAAAAAAACAGATTAAATTAATAAAATCATCTGAATGGTATAACTTTGTTCTGTAATTATACAAATTGTTCATTTACAAAAAATGGAAACAGATTTGCCTTCAACTACAGAAAGCCCCTGTTCCACCAGATCTGAGTATTGCCAACAGCAGTTGACATCTCCTTCCCACCGAGGTGAAGAGACATGAACAATTGCATGAGTCCTGCGCTCAGCCCTATCCAGCAGCACTAACTGCTCAGCCTGGTCTGTAAGACAGGATTGCACACAATAGTGGAAGCTATAATTGTGACTAACTGCAGAGTCTGCTGAATCCAGTGGCACTGGAATCTGTTTTAAAATGGTTTTCACCAGAGTGCTTGTGTCCACAAACTCGCCATTGATAATTGCTACTGTAGCACTTTGCATATTTAAAAGGCCTTTTTGGCTTTGACAGTAACAAAGTAGATTTAATGGTATATAAACTGAAAACCTGGAAAAATGTCTTTTCAAAACATTGGTTGTGATTGTCTGTGTCAGGCTGTTATTAGTCTGAGGGAATTCTAAAGAAAATCGGTACAATTTTGGCATGCTGAGTTTCTCTGTATTGGTCTTTATAGATTGAAAATTAAAGTAGGAACATGGGAACAGCCTTGTATATAATGTCAGTCTTTCAAATCTCAATCAGCCTGCTACAGCTCAATCTTCTGTTTCAAATCTTGCCAGCACTATGCTTTCACCTCAAGTGTAAACAAGGTCTCCTAGATTGCATATCATACATTGTATTGACAGTGTTTCCTTCCTCCTCAGATGCGTACAAGAGTACAAGCTGGCAGGCGATGGGCGCTCCTGTCTCCTGCAGTCAGACAACTGTGATGGACCAAAATGCCCTAAGCAGGATGTCTACTTCAATGACACCCTGTTTGGTGAGATGCTGCATGGATACAACAACAAAACCCAGCAAGTCAACTTGGGACAGATATTCCAAATGACCTTCCGGTAACTAGTGTACAAGTACATGCATTACACTTACATGACTATACAGACTAATGTTCATGCGTCATGTCTTTTTTCTTTCAATTGTCAGTGACTGTTCATTATGTTGTTCTTCACTTTTCTTTAATCTTACCTAGAATCGTGTCTCGTTCTATAAGTTTATGCTTTTTCTTTCCCTTTTATTGTTTTCTTATCTATTGAAAAAAGAATCTGTTTTTATATTATTTCCAACTAAACTTGTAGACACTTAGTCTTCCCTCGAGACCTGCTGTTTCACATCTGAACAGTTTTTCTGCATCTCGAGAGACACATTGAGGCAGCTCTGAAAATCGGTAGTCAGGGTTTGCCATTGGGTTGCTGCGTCTGTGCTTGCTTCAGTGTGTGTGTGTGTGTGCATGTCTATGTAGATACGTGTGTGTGACAGAGAGAGAGAGAAGGGCATGAGAGTGTAATGGTTGAGTGAGGATTGAGACTTATCCCATGGCAGTTCTCCTTAAACTGTCAGCTCTCTGAAAACCTGGCTCACTCTGATAAGTCACATGCTGTCTGTGAGGAAATGCTCAACACTGAGAGATGATAGGGTCTATTTATGCACAAATACAGTATCCACGGTAAACATGCTCAGCCTATATCTCACATTCTCTGTGTCTGTCGTCACTATCTCATGCGCATACTATATAGGCACTGCTTTCAGCAGGGTAACCATAAAATGCTTTTCAACTGCTCTGCCCTATGGGTCATAATAGTTGTGCTTGGCACAGGGTCATGACTTTACAGCGCATACTTTTAAGAAACGGAGAGAAACCTTTCCGTCTTTCAAAAATGGCTAAAATTTTAGATCTAGGTAGAATTTATCCGAATGTATTAATAGTTTCTTTGGGCATCGTCGTCCTGCTAAAATCTCCGTGTACCCAGTAAAGGTGGTGAACACAAGGTAAGTGTTTCGAGTCTGCAGTTTTACACCATTAATTTCATTTTAAAATGGTCAAATTATAGTCAAAGAAGCAATTTGAATAATATTAACATAAGAGCCTTTGTAAGGTGTTTGTGTGAAGTCTTCTCTCAGAAGTGTGCTATAATTCAGGTACTGTAATTTCACATAATTCCTCAGAGAATTCAGCATTTCAGTAATCCACAGATAAGTGTATAAAAAAGGACACTTCTGCTTTAATATCCCTATATTCTTAATATAAACAGCTTTCAAAAGAAGCAGTTCTAAATGCTATTAAGTTTCATTTATTTGGGATTTAACACTCGACACAGTCGTGTCAGCAGTGTCCTTGAAGATGTTATTGGAACGTAGAGAAGCTGTTAAACAGAAAGAATCAGACTAATGCATCTATTAGCTAGAGTGAGTTATTGTAAAAGATGACCAATCTAACACTGTTTTTTCATGCATTCAGGAAATGTCAACTAATTACCAAAGTATACAGAACAGGTAAATACAAACTGAAAATATTTTTCTCAGAGTTTTGTTTGGACCTCACGTTATAAATTAAGAGGCTTCAGAGCATTCAAAGGAATGAAAAGCTATGGTTTAACTCCCCCATAACAGCAACATCTGACGACCTTCTCTGTACCCACAATGACGAGTATAGACACTTAGTATACGCCTCGGGTTTTTCCAAGAGTAGCTGCAGACATCAACCTCACTAACTTCTGATGCACAACCAGTCGTTTTGTTCTAAAAGCATTCCTGGAATATAACAGAAACCACTCAGCAGTTAGTTGTGATAGTTACCTGTGATCACCTTATCAGCTCTAAGTTAAACAGGGACTGAAGAGTTATCTTTAGACAGTTTGGAAGAAAGACTGACATGTCCAGAGCTTAAACTGGGGACTAAAGGTCCAAGGTTTCCTAAAGGTTTGAGAGGCTAAACCAGTTGGTAACTTCCACTAATACACTCAACAAGGCACAGTTTGACAGATGAGTCAAAGGCACAGTTTGAGGATTATAAACCCTGGCAAAGAGGCAGTCTTTATCCCTTTGCCCTCAAACAGTAGGCTGCACAGTGGGGCCTGATCCTCCAGGCTCCAACTCCATGAGCTGGGCTATATTAAATACAGAAAGTAAATACACATGTACTCAAGACCAGGACTCTGATGACATTACAAAATTGAAACAACTAGCGTTGGCAGACCTGAGACACACAATGAGTGACATACTGGTTTTTTTTACCTTATGAGATCAATATAAAATAATATAGTGTATATGATATTGTTAAAATGTGTTTTTGGTCCCTGCTTTTAAATTTCTTGAAATTTAAAAACTTTCTTTAATGTTTTTTCTTTTTAAATTTCTTCAAATCCTTTCTTGCAGGCAAGAATTAATCAAAGCTCCCTTAATAGCTGGAATTAATCCCTTAAAAATGAAGAAATTGTCAAACAGTGAATTACCAAAGAGAAGTTACAACACTATTAACTTTTCATGTTCCTCCTTTTTAGTGAATGTCTCACCTTTATACACCCTAAGGTTGTTTGGCAAGGTCTATACTCAGAAATACATTTTGCTGATTACTAAGCATCCTTTAAGTATGGTTGTTGTGCTCTGTGACGGTCACTGGCACAGTGACTTGGAAGTCTTAAGAGACAGTCAAAAACCAAAAAAAGACATCAAAATAAAAGTTAGATAATTGCAAAGTTACAAACATTATGGATAAACATTTTTGGCTCTAGCTGAGACTTATATGGGTTTTTTTCAACTTAGGTAAAATTGTAATTCACTAATGATTTCTATAAAGAGTTTCCCTGACACTGTCAAGGTAACTGCAGACAAATCTACTTGGCTCTTAAAAGGGCCCTATTTTCAGTTCTGAACATCAAGTAAAATGACCACTCAGCCACAGCTCTCCATCCACTTTTTCTGTTTGGAATTAGTTAGGTATTGTGGTTATTTATCTTTCCAAGAAGTTAAGTCACACTTCAGAGAGAACATTTATAGAGAACTTTTCCTGTTTTCCATCTCAGCCTTCATTTTCTTACACCTGTGCAATTTGCACCTGTGCTTTGAAGCTAGAAAAATTTCCATGCTAATTGCAAGATGCATACTTAGCTACACTTATATGGTTCCCTGCAGTTAAAGGCACACTTGGCTGATTACATGCCGATGACAGGCAAAGTGCACTTCCAGGCTGATGTGCCTGTTTGGATAAAGAACGCACACGTCTCTAGGTGCAGAGTATGTCTGAAACGAAACACGAAAAGCATTTAAATAGACCGACAGTACATGGTTCAGTACGTTTTGAAGAGAGACTAGAGGAAACAAAAAAGAAAGGTGTTACTCTGTGTATCCATTATTTAAATCAGTGTCAAATTCTGTGGGGAAAATTTTTGTTTAACCAGAATGTATTTTGTATTCATCGACCCCACTAAACATTCATCTTTGTTTCAATTTATTTCTGTTAACGATGGAAAGTTGAGCCGGGGTAAGTCTAACCAGAAAGGCTCAGCTCACAGTAGGTTGGTACTTGCCTTGCAGTGTCATTAATTAAACATGTGTATTATGCCATGTTATCTTACTGTGGTACTTACTGTGCTTATCAAATCCACTGTCATTTGTCAAAAGAACATTAGCTTTGTCTTCGTAATGATTTTGCTCCCATAAGAACCTACTTCACACTCTATGCATTTGTAGAAACATACTACAGTTCTTATTCTCATCATTTTCTACACTTCCCTCCACACCTTCTTTGATATGCAGATGCAAGACTTATTCCACAGCCCTTATTTTTCTCACCTCCACAGTCTACTGGGTTTCTCTCTCACACACGCACACACACACAAAACCCCATTCCTATGCACCAGCACTTCAAAGTGAAATATTAGATGATTGAGATGAATTGTATAAATTGATTCACAGCTTCACAGGTCTTTTTTTCAGTATGAAATATAATCCGTGATTTACGACTGTTTTGCATACATTTGGTATTATATTGATCACACTTTGCTTTTTCACAGGATGTTGAGGTAAGCCCGGGGAGTGATTTTTGCATATTGCTGTAAATTATAGAACTGTAACACAATATTACGATGTCATTCAAGCATTCATTCATTACATGCGTAAATGTGGATGTGAAAGTATAAAACGTTGTGGAAAAGAAATCTGGCCCAAAAAGATTGATTATATTTTTTACAGTTTCATCCAGGAACCTGACAATGAATGCAGGCTAAAGGCCAAAACTTATCCTAAGATTGCATCCTTTCTATTTACTTAATTGTGCACTTACATGCACCATAATGACATCCTGCCACTAATTGGTACATCAGTGTCAAGCCCATGCCTGAAAAGATGACTGTAGAGCCATGGTGCAAAGAAAGTACACTCACTTTTGATTCTAATGGCTTACATATCAGGACTTAAGTGTAATCTAGTCCTAAGCAGGTGCTAGGTAAATACAATCTCAGATGAATTACAAAGCATGGCCTATTACAGCGTATCATTATTTAGTTAACAAAACCTAAAACAAAAGGCAGAAAACTGTGGAAAATTTAACTCGTCTGGGAAGTCATATAAGATAATTTTCCATTTAAAAAATGTTGAAGTCCATCACGCTGTAGTGAGAGAGATTTTTCAGAACTGGAAGACACTTAAAACAGTTGCCAGTCTTCCCACAAGTTAATGTCCCGGCAAATTTACCCCAAGGTCAGACCGTGTAATGCTCAGAAAAACTAATTCTAATGCTGCACCCAAACTACTCAGGCTATATGAGCCTCAGTAAACATGTTAAATGTTAAAGTTCATGACAGTACATTTACAAAAAAAGCATGAACAAGTATGACTCTTTTAGTGGGGATGCCAGCAAAAAGCCCTTCTCTCTAAAAAGAACATGGCAGCAAAGCTTAGGAGCGATGTCCTTTGGCTAGACAAGATCAAATCAGTGATGTTTGGCCATGATGCAGAGGACCACGTTTACTGAAAACACTCCACTCCACAAACACATGGCCCAACATTGAAAAGCCAAGACTCAGCTGACACCTCCACCAAAAGGACGAGGCTCATGCTC